GATCTATGCAGAAATCGACCAGTATCGCAAGTTGTTCGTCGAGCAATGGAAAAATGCCGGTTTGGACTGCCTCATTTGTCCGGTGAACTCCTGCGCTGCTTTGCCACATTCATACCCCCAAAAATTGCTACCAGCAGCATTGTTCACCATCCACTACAACCTTTTAAACTTTCCCGCAGGTGCTGTGCCTTGCACAAACATTACCGAGTCAGACGAGGCTGAGCTGAAACAGCGCTACGTTGTTAATGACATTTTCTCATCCAAGGTATTCAACGCTTTCAGCAAGGAATCCATAGGACTGCCAGTTGGTGTGCAGTGCGTGGCTCTGCCATTCATGGACGTTGTATGCCTACGACTAATGTCCATAATTGAAGAATGTTGGACCGCGTTGAAGAATACCGGTTGTTCTTAATTAAAATTCTAGAAATTGAATGGCAGCCGCTAACGATTTTGTCAATTCCGTTGATTCTTGTTCAGAATTTATTGTAGTTTTTTTTATTCCTATCATTGGCTTAAATTTATTATATCGCGTTTGTATTCAGCTGTCGTGCAACTTGAACATTTGGCTTCTAAGTGATCAGGCCGACATCTAACGAGCAACATGTACAACGGCAACAGGGGATTTGTGTTGTTTGTTAATTAATCATTCATTAGAATTACACAACTGTGTGTTCCTACTTCTGAACTACTGTGAAATGTGACCGATTCGAAATTCTGTATTTATCAAAAATGAATTTAGGGTTGTGTTAAGATTAAATAATTACGAAAAAAATTTAATTGAAGGCTTTCTGAGCTTCACCATAAGCAGGAACATTAATGGTTATTCAAGATCCTTGAATCATTTATTGAAATCATTACGATGTTGAATATAGTCTTTTTCCTGCTAAAAGATCTCGTTTCCCGAATTATCAGTAATATTATAAGATGTACTTTTGCATACATTCACACTTTTTTGTACTAGATTTCCATCGAGCTTAACGTTCGTGTCTTACTGAATCTGTGGGTGTTACTGACCATTGAGGTATAAATGACCCTATCAATTTCTTTACAGATTTCCGCATTTGATGATAGCGAAGAATTGAGGATTCAGTATTTTGCCTCCAGCTAGACTTTTTGCATAATTTTCTAGCGTTTTTGCGTATGAAACATCTTGTCGACGCAGGGCAATGGTTTATACGCATTCACTGCCTACCTAAGGCATCTTGACTAGATCAAATATAATTTTTAATCGGCGGTATTTACTGCGAATTCAGTTAAAACAATGCTCCGAAAATAAAAAAGGAATAAACGAAACAATCAGCGTAAAGGCTTTCTATGATGACTGTCGATCACAAGAAAGACAGGTGATGTGTCAGAAGTGCCATTTAGTTCAGACTAAAGTCAACCCTGACTATGTAAAATTTAACCCAACTATGCATCTCAATGGTACGGCCATTCATTGCAAAGTAAAGTAACTGCC